GAGATAGCAGAAAGAGAGGGGGAGGGAGAGAGAGAGGAGGGAGAGAGGGAGAGAGAGGGGGATAGAGGGAGAGAGAGAGAAAATGTGTGACAAGTATTTGTTCATATGTTTTATCAAATATGGTTGACGAAATTTGTCTTTTCAATTTTTTATTCAGTTTTGCCCATCGTTTTCTGAGTCTGTACATCAAAAATCAAATTCATAAACAAACCGTCCAAAATTAATAGTCTTTTTTAAATTGTGTAGTTTTCAACGCTCGCTGGAATAAATTATTTTTTGTTACCCAATTACTTTACGGATATGCAATGTAATTGGCCCTGATCTGGCATCTCGTCTCCAGTCGCTCTCTCACAGACGTGCCGTCGCCTCCCTCTGTCTTTTTTACAAATACTTTCATGGTAATTGCTCCGATGAGCTGCTTTCACTGGTTCCCAGACTTCAAACAATTTAAGCGCTCAACTAGGCTGGCATCTCGCTCTCACCCGTTCACTGTTGAAACTGTTAAGTGTAGCCGTCTCTTCTACTCCAATAGCTTCATGTCTGCAACTTCTCGCCTGTGGAACTCCCTCCCCTTTTCCTGTTTTTCTGATAGCTATAATCTCTAACTATTCAAATGTAATGTCAATCGACGTCTCCAGATGCCTTGATCTATCCCCTATCCTTCTCTTCATCCTTTCTTCTATCACTCCTCTTTGTTCTCGCTCCTACTCTGAAAACATTTGCGTTGCTAGTGGCTTCCTGCCTTGCTTGGGATGGAAAAAAAACAAAAAAACTTCCGTTGTTTCTTGAAAAAGGTTCTATCTTTTTAATATCAAAATTTAGTGCAACTCTGAGCGATTACGTTTCCGTTCAAAGAATTCTTGATATCTTTATTCATTCTTGTTAATACCATAATGTCTTTATTACTGATATTGACGATATTCAGTCACCCCCCCCCACGAGGGCATCATGTGGCACAAGGCCGGTTTAACGTGGGATCTCCGAGCCCGTGGTCTCCGGCCAAAAATATGCCAATTGAACCCGTATAAACGGTCGGTTTACCTCCCCGAAAGAGAATCCGCCCTTCGGCGTAGCCTCTTTCGGGTTCCTCCCCTCCCGAAGGCAAAGAGGCCAACATCGATTCACTGACTATATTACTGATATTGACGTACATGTCGAAATGTTTGTCTTTTAATTTGATTTAGGAACACACACAAAGAGTTACCCACAAAAAAAAACGCTTCGAAAATTAAAATTGATTTTTAAAATTTTTTTCCTATATAAATAAAAATCTGTATTAATTTCTGGGATGAGGATTTATCATTATTTACACTATTTACTTTCTGATTATTGTCCTCATCTTTGTTGTTGCTATCAAAACTTTTCAACCGTTGCGTTCTACGCCTTCATCAGATATATATCCATCTGGGAAATTCTTAAATGAACCCTTTATTTAATCTACGTGGGCAGACTGTTCTCGTTCCACTGCCCATGTCTGGGCATATCTCATCTAGTTTTTATTTTTAGTTCTCCTCAGTTACAGCTCGGCTGCTTCCACTGTGTATAAGCAAGATCTACCTGGACCAGGGATTGCACTCACAGTTACGATGTCACAAAATTCACTAGGTTAACATGTCACCAAATTCGCGAAATAAAGATTTAATCTAAAAAGTAAATGTAAGTGTGCGTTTCGCTCAAAGAATTCTTGGCTTATTTTTGCTTTGGTTGATTTTTTTTAGCGGCATATCGACATCTATGTGGGTTTATTTGATGCTTAAATCTAAACATTTTGAGCACAATCTTATGGTTTCAACTAAATATATTTTGAACGCAATTGTATGCCTTCACCTACAGATAAAATGTATTGTTGGTCATTTTGCTATGAAACGTATTGAGGGTAATCCTATTATATCTGCTATAAAATGTAGTTAATCATTTTCATTTAAAAATGTATTGTTAATTTTATTACAAATAGGTTTGTTGGTAATTTTAATATAAATAGGTATTGTCGTAATTTTCCTATAGATATATATTGTTGGCAATTGGGCGCCTCGAGGTGGTGTAATGGTTAGCAAGCTTGTCTTGCTAGAACAATTACAACTGAGTAGTGAGTTCGATCTTCACTGGGTGCCCCAAACTTTCTGCCTTGTGCCACATCAAAGCTACGCTTGGAAAATCACTATATTGTTGGTAATTTTTTATATAAAAATGTATTTCTATACTTTCATAATGTTTTCTTTTTGTTTGGGGGGTTCACTATTTGCCCATAGCTGGGACCCTAACAGGTGCTACCACCCCAGGTCAGGGTGGACCTTACAACAACATAATTAAAAGGTCGTTCCACGCTCCTCAAAACCTCCAATCTTCTGATCATAGGCCTTGCTGCCGGATGTAGTTTATCGTCATACCCAGGACTAATAATCTCGTATCCCGCTTATAGTACATTAAATAAGATTAGTCTGGATCGACAGTATTTTTTTTCTTTTTTATGATACTAAGGTAGTTAAGGAATGACGTCATAATGTTATACCATAAGAATCCAATGAAAAGAATTGCAGTGAAACATATATCCCAAAAGGTTGTCTTACTTATGTCTTGTGATATTGACAATGATAACGATAATTTTACAAACACAGAGATCAACGCTGATAGTTTTGAAAAAAATGCCCATTCGGTTTGCGATCAGTCTTGCACGTATAATTTTTAAAATATATCTTCCTTTTATTAAGTCATTTCATAAAAGAAATTCAGAAATAAAATAATTCCTTTAAAATTCTCTTCTGAATAGCGTTTCTTTTCTTAGTTGTGGCAATGTTTTCCTTTTTGCTATGCGAAATATTCCCAAGAGAATTTCGAAGGCAAATTCTTTGTGTCAATTATTAACATCGATGAGTGAATCAGATTCGATTATTTCATCTCTTATTCCGCTAAAACAAAACATTAGCTGCTTACGTTAAATCATTTATATTGAGCGATGTCGATTTTAAAGGGAATATTTCCACTTGTTTACGTTTTGTCTATAATTTACGTCCGACTGTATTAAGACAGGCAAGGAAGATAGATAGATAGATAGATAGATAGATAGATAGATAGATAGATAGATAGATAGATAATGGGCAGACTGAGATTAGATAGATAGATAGATAGATAGATAGATAGATAGATAGATAGATAATGAACAGACTGAGATTAGATAGATAGATAGATAGATAGATAGATAGATAGATAGATAATGAACAGACTGAGATTAGATAGATAGATAGATAGATAGATAGATAGATAGATAGATAGATAATGAACAGACTGAGATTAGATAGATAGATAGATAGATAGATAGATAGATAGATAATGAACAGACTGAGATTAGATAGATAGATAGATAGATAGATAGATAGATAGATAGATAGATAGATAATGAACACACTGCTACATAGATTTTTGTTGTTTTATTTTTTTAAATTTTTGGTGGTCCGGCAATGGCATTGTCCCAAGGTGCCGGATTAAAGTGGGTCTGACTGTATATATATGCTTAGCTGGGAAGAACAGAGAATAACACTTGACTCAAGCCTTATAAATGAAGATTTTGTCATTCATAAGAGTTTGTTCGCGTTCCGCTCTTCAAATCTCGCGATACTGCGTTTTGTTCTTCTTTAGTTATTGCACGCCACTGTCTACTGAATCTGTAGTCTGTACTAACCGGCGCATAATTTGAACTAATAATTTCAATGTCAATAAATTTATGAACCAAAGATTCCATCTACTTTTGTCTTTCCGCATAGATGATACTTCATATAAATATCGTCTTTCAGTGGAACAAATTCGTCCCAACAAATCTTTACTCTGTTAATGTTTCCAATTTTCATACGTGCGACATATTTATGTCCTTGCCATAGTAAACTAAACATCGTTAATATAAGATTCTTTAGTTACTAAAAGAAAGATAGAAACAGACTAGAAGCTTATGATGTGTAAAATCAAGGGGATTTGAAAAAAAATGCCCTGTAGTTGTAAAGATATATGTTAAAATATTTATTTTCAACGCTATTAGGGTATCAAGTTGGTCACGATAACAAATGTAAAGCAGACGGTAGACATTCAGCTGATTTGGGTTTTGTTTTTGCTTTGTTTTTTTTGTTTTTTCTTTTTGCTTCATTCATCAAAATTTATCAGATTTTTCCTACTTTTATAAATGACGGTGTACAGATTAATCTGACTTGAACTTGGTAACCTTGTTGGGCGTCACTTGAATAATAATCTCCAAGGCAGACAATAAACTCTTATCTTGATTTCTTTTTAATATTGGTAACTGCTAAACTAACTGTAAAGTTTTGGCTTCGCAAGATGCTGACGGTTCGACGACGGCAAAGAGTTTATCAAGGCAGATGGCAGAAATGGACTTACGATGACCAATGCTGTACGGCGCATGCGTCTTTTTTATGACTGTTCTCTTCAAATATTTCCATCTTTTTCCTTCGGTTCTTTTATTTCTTTTTATCTTCACATTTTTTTTTTTTTTTGCTTCACATTTTTCCTTTCTTTTTATTTTCCGATATATTTTTTACAACGGTTCCCGTACGATCGCAGAAGTTAGCAACGTTGAGGCTGGTCAGTATCTAGATGGGTGACCTCTTGGAAATACCAGAATGGATGGCTCGAAGTTGTTAATTGGAGAGCCGAGTTCTAATTCCCATTAGGTTCGTTATAATCAGTTGTCCGCAAATACCCTTGGGAAAGGTATGAGTCTGCCTGTTCTGCCCCCAGATATGGGTTAATTAGTAAGACTTGTAACACTAAACTATTATTATCCCCACCAAATTATACAATCTAAAAATATTTTCTGGCTTTAAATAACACGCAAAGGGTTGATAAGACATAAAAAAAAACATCTGAATCCATCACAAAAACCCAATTCATTTTTTCAAACTTTCCCTTCTAAAAGTCAACTATATTCGTTTGTTTTTAATTTATTTAAGCTTTTGTTTTGTTTTTGTTGTTTGTCTTTTTTTTTATTAAAGTGATACCAGAATAAAACATGTACAACAATTTAACTATCCGGGAAGTGTTTTAACAAAGGTTCGTCAGCGCGACACTGAAATTCGAAGGCGCATTGGGATAGCGAAAGATGC